AGGAATCTCACTGAGCTGTGATTTCAGGTGAAGATGCAGATGAAAAAAACAGCTTTGTCCTGCTTTAGGGACAGAGTTCAAGCCAGTTATGTCCTGCCTTCACTCACCTGCAGGAAGTTGTTTAAATTGTGCTTGGAACACTGCAGTGCCCATGCTTCTTTGGACTCCATAGGCAAGTGCTTAAGGCAATTTCTGTGTCTCCAGTTAACACAGGACGTGGACAAAAGCTTTCTAAAGGGGCCAGGAAAAGACAATGTTATTTCAAGGTTAGTGTTTGTAGACTCTGTAGAACAGATGGCTGTAGAAATAACCTTAGACTAAATAAGCACAAGTCGTTTTAGATTAAATAAAATGGAAGTATAAACCTGTGTGTAATTAAGCTTGTGGATTTCAAAAAAACCTGATAAACTAAGGGAGCTGGTTAATAAGCTCCGCCAAGGAACTCGATGTGGAGCAGGTCTGGAACTTTTTCAAGTCAAAGATGCTAAAACCATTACAATTCTGCATGCCAAGCAGGAGGAAAAAGCTTGTAGGAAGAATATCCAGACCTCACTGAAAGAGTAACTGCCACAGAGAAGCTGTTAGGAATAGACCAAGAGCCTGCTAAGAATGAAAAAAATAAAAGAACTGATAGCAAATAAATAACGAAAAGCTCTGTCTTAGAGATCAAGAAGTGTAAATATGAAGTGAAAACAGTAAAAATCAAGCTGAGTCAGACTTTGCAAAGGGTAGTAAAATAAGCAGTACGAGGTTTTTAAACTTTGCAGATTGGAAGAGTAAAATAAGCAGTACGAGGTTTTTAAGCTTTGCAGATTGGAAGAAAGGAGACTGCTAGTCAATGAGGATGGGGCTGAGTCTAAAGGCAGAGAAGTTTTGGTACTCAGAGTGAGCAAGTGCTTTACCTGGGGCTTCAAGTTGAAGTGGTGGGCATTGCTCACGAGGAGGAATACTGTATGTCTGCTGCACAATGGAAAAGTCTCTTTTTGTAGTGTAGATTTTTAAATGCCCTGGGACTGGTTTTTTGGGGTCAAGCCAAGCAAGGTGCCCTAGGGGCAGGCAAGGTCCATCAGAGTAGGCAGTAGCTGATGGTGCTGGCACCCAGTGGGAGTGAGGAAGGCATGAGGAGGCAGCTGTCATGTTCAGACAGGTAGAGGAAGAAGAGCTAAGAAGCAAGTACTTGAAGTTTGGATCTTTGGACTTGAGATGTGTGGGATGGTGTGGGGAAGGCTGCTGAAGGGGAGTTGGGGATCAGGTCAAATGATTCAGATGAGAGTTCCAACTCAGGGTTGGAAGAAGGGAGGGCTCTGCAGTAAGGGAGGCTGAGGCTTTAAGGTGGATGCAGTGGATGAGGATTTGGGGGTAGTGAGGAATGGAGATGCTGGGATCAGGAAGAGAGGTGAGTATGAAAGGATCTAGAGATGAGACCTGAAATAGCTCTGAGATGTCACTGCTGCAGGTTCCAGGGTTGTCTGGTCAGGCTGGTATTTGGCCTTTCCTCTTGGCTCTTAAAAGCCTATTGGCATGAGAGCAAAGGAGAAAGGCTGGAAATGGAAATTATTGCCACCAAGGTGGATGCAAAACTTAGGCAGCATAAACATCTCAAGGGAGTGTTCACTTTCTTTCCTGACACTCTGAAAGAGCTGCCACTTGGTAGCACAGGCAGTGTGACCTCAGCAGCATTTACAGGTGGACCTAGGGGAAAGGTTATCTTGGAGAAAGAGGCAAAATGGGAAATAATTTGAGAAGACTTTTACAAAGATTGATCACACAATCATTTAGAACATCACTGATTTTCTCAAAAGCAGACTAGATCTGATAAGTCTCATTTAGCTGAACTTCTGTGAAACAATTTCTCACATGGGGAACTCTTAGTTAAATTGAGGAATGTAAGGAAAAATGCAGTAGCTATGAGATGGACAAGAAAGTGGTTCAAGGAAAGATGTCAAGAGGAATGTAAGGAAAAATGCAGTAGCTGTGAGATGGACACGAAAGTGGTTCAAGGAAAGATGTCAGGTTGTGTGAAAGGATGTCTCTTGATCTTAACAGAGCTTGTTTAGCAAAGCTCATCAAAGATTTGCCTTAGTATTTTGTTTCTCAGCCTCAACACAAACATTAGGAATGGGCTGATGAAGTTTGCTGATGATGCAAAGGTGGCAGGTAGTGTGACTACAGAGAAGAATCTGAATTTTGTACAGCAGCTAATGGCATCCAATAGAATAACATTAAGACCATCATTTAAGGCCTTGTATGAAATACATTTTTAGTCATTAGGAAAGGAGTAGGAAAGAATTGGTGGCAGCAGTCAGCTGCAACTCACTGCAGATGTAATGTGGCTCAGAAGGTGGTAAATATCCTGTAACATACTAGGGAAAGTCTTTTTGAAAAACATGGGGGAGTACTAATGCCATTGTATTAAGCTCTCAGGAGGCCCTAAAATACTACTATATGTTCTCATATTCCCAAGTAAAATGACCTCAGACTAGAAAAGGCTTGTTATGGCTGACCCAAGGGGTAGGAATCTTTTCTTAAGAAAGTGGACTAGAACAGCTTGCCATATTTAGCCTAGTAAAGTGAAAGTTGAGAGAGGATATGACTGATGTCTATATTTGTGGGATAAATAACAGGGAAGGAAAAGTACTTTTTAAGCAAAAGGCCAATTTGGCACAATAGCAAATGGGCATAAAGTGAATACATTTAGGCTGGGAATCAGAAAAAGATTTTATCATTGGAACAGTGATTGCAATAATGGTGGCTGTAAACCTAATTGCTTTTAAAAGGGCACTGGACACATTTAGGGGAAATGTTATCTGAAGCAGTGCCTACAATATCAAGAGGTCATACTTAATAACCAAGGGGAGATCCTGTCCAGTCCTGCCTTCCTAACCTTCTGAGGTTCTGGTTTTGGAGGTATGAAGATGCACATGTAAATCCATACTCCCAAAAGTTGATGCTGAAAGAAATGAATACTGGAGACCCAGCAGTGAGCACTGCTGAGTTACCACCAGCTGCCATCCCACTAGAGCCA